CTGTACTGGTAGCAACACTCAACACGATTCTGTGTGTAATGGTTGAAACCCAGATCAAATGGCTGCAAAGAAAATGCTAATGCTTGTTTACTTTGGAATGACTATCTGCTTGTTAGCATGAGGGAGGATCCTGATATGCAGCTTTTCCCCAGGCTATTACTTCTATACTGGACTGCTTATTGGTTTCCTGTAGATGGTTTTGCTTTTGCATTTTTATCCTCTATATATCAAGGGATGTGTAATCCAATGTTCCTACTTTGCTATTGATGTCAAATAAAATATTTTCAGTTATGACGTCTGACAGCATTACTCTGGATTCCCCCTCCAGCTGGTTGGGTTTCTGGCTAATGGGGTAGGCTGGGCCATGCCTTAGACTCCTTGCATTAACTTTATCAAGCTTTTCCCCTCTCTGGCTGCCTCCCTGAATGAATTTCTCTGTGCTGCAAAATTTTTCACAGTGTTAAAGAAATAGATCCAAGAGTCCCCAGTTGACACTAGAAAATCATAAAGTGGTTTGTTTACCTGTGGGTGGGGGGACAGCATGCAGACCCCTCCTGAAACCAGGCAGGGGACACAAGCCCTCACTCAGGCTGTTGACTGATTGAGGGAAACAGGCCACTGCTTGCTCCCTGTGTGCTTGTGGGTTTGGCTAGAATGTGAAAATGAAGAACTCATTCCTGGGAAACTGACGTAAACGTTTGCCTGTGTTCCTTGGCAATTTCTCATTAAAACAGTTTCTACGGAGGAGATCTTTCAGACTGCAAGAGTGGACTAAGGCTAGGCAGCTGGCAGGAGCTCCTCAGTGCACTCCAGGGAGTGGTGGAGTTATATCCAGCTGGGACCTGCTACCAGCCTCTGGGGCCCAGGCTGGCATAGTGGGTAGGGCATCCCCAAGACCCTGCAGTTGCTTGGGAGCATGCTCGGAAGACCATACTCAAAGAGGGCTCTGGGAGAGGGCACTGGCCTCTGCCTGTTTCATCCATCCAGGGCTGGCTACCAGGGCACTGCAGACAATGCAGGAGCATCATTGCATTGAAGTTGCTGGCAGACTAGGGTGTTGCAGCAGGCTTGCTGGTCCCTATTGCACTTTTCATTGATTTTTGGAGCCTGAAAGGCTCAGGAATTGTGGGTGTTAATTTCTCATGGTTCAAAGTTTGGTATCTATAGGCAGAAAAATGGTCTGAGATGGACCTTCCACTTTCTCCTACTTCTGTCCTCAGCGTATTGAGTTGTTCCTCCCCAACAACTGGGTGAGGAATGCTCAGGAGTCACACAGCTCAGTGTCTGGAAGAAGCCTTGTGTGGAAATTTTGACCCTTGCTGAAAGCAGCAGCTGAGAAGTGTCGGCAGGATTGCACCCTTCTCCCCACTGGTTACCAAGGCTTCCCTGGCCCAGATCAGCACATGGCTTGTAAAGAATCCCTTGACTTTTTGCTGTGAGGCCATACTTGCCCTAGCAGAGCTTTCTCCCCCACTTCAAACTCCACCTGCTTGCCAAGGGCCACAATGGGTGAACAAAGGTTTCTGACACTTATCCCACATGTTTACCCTGCTACACCTTCCTGTTCTCCAGCCCACGGTGTATGTGTGTGGCAGGGGGGAACAAACAAAAACCCACAGCAAAAAAAAAAAAAAACCAAAAAAAAAAGCTGTTGTTAGAAGGAAGAAAAATACTAAGCTGGAGTTAGCTAAACCTTTTCACCCCCTTGGAAGGAATTTGAAGTGGGTGTGCTTGCCCTTTGTTCTTGCTTTGTGTCTTAGCACAGCGGTGCTGACGCTGGATCTGTTCTTATTTGCTTACATCCCATGTGCAGGATGTCTGTGCACTCAGGGACAATGCACCTCTGTTTTCTGTATACCCAAGGCAGCAACCCCACTCCTGGAGCCTGTTTTCCTTTTCCATCCACTACTCTCAGTATAACTACCAGCAATGCAGATCAGTGCACAGAGTAAAGACTTTCTACTCTCTGTAGAGTGACCAGCAACTGACTTCCCAAGCCTGCACTAGATCTTCTGGTGGAGAGCTAAGTGGGGAAAACAAGTGGCTTGGGTTAAGTCCAAAGGCTGGACCTGCAGGGCACTGCCAGGGGAAGAAGAGCATGGAGTCACATGGCTGTCTGTGCTTTCCAAACCTGC